CTCTCTCTCTCTCTCTCTCTCTCTCAGTTTGTTTCTGAATCTTGATTTCTGTCTCTCTGTTTGTGTGTTTCCCTCTCTGTTTTCTCTGTTTCTGTGTCTCTCTCTCTCTCTCTCTCTCTCTCTCTCTCTCTCTCTCTCTCTCTCTGTTTCTGTGTCTGTCTCTCTTTCTCTGGTTTTGTCTTTGTCTTTCTTTCTCTATTTATGTGTCTCTTTCTCTCTTTCCCTGTTTCTATGTCTCTGTCTCTCTTCCTCTGTTCCTGTGTCGCGGTCTCACTCTCTCTCTCTCTCTCTCTTTCTCCCTCTCTCTTTCTCTCTTTGTTTCTGTCTCTGTATCTCAGTCTCTTTCTCTCTCCTCGTTCTTTATTTCTTTCTCTCTCTCTCTCTCTCTCTCTCTCTCTCTCTCTTTCTCTCTCTCTCTCTCTCTCTGTTTCTGTATCTCGGTTTCTCTATCTCTATTTCTGTCTCGGTTTCTCCCTCTCTTTCTCTTTCTCTGTTTTTATTTCTAGGTCTCTCCATCCCTGTGTGCGTGCGTGTTGTATGTGCTGTGTTTCTTTTTTTTCCCACACTCTCTCTGTTTCTGTGTCTCAGTCTCTCTATATCACTGTCTTTATTTGTCTATATTGATATATGTTCGTCTGTACGTCTGTCTATCGGCTTTCTCCCACCTTCACTCACTCTTACCTTTTTCTCTCTCTCTATTTCTTTCTCTGTCTATCTGTCACTTACTGAAGTCTAGTTTACTGAGACTGAGATGACCCCAAAAAAAAAAAAAACAAGGTTTTTTTAGGTACATCTAGTTTACATAGATATACAAGCCAAACTTACTCCTGGTCACAGATGTACAACCTGGAAGGCAGTCAAACCTGGTACAAGAAACTGGTCTGGTTCCTGCCCTACTTTTACGATCGCAGCTGGATCTACTCTCAGAGCAGTCAGGACAACTGTTCCACAGAGCAGATCCTGGAGGTAGGTCAGGAGGGACTAGATGAACTACGTTCAACCAGCTTCCCTTAAGGGCGGCTTTAGATTATATTGTGGCATTTGTTTGCCTGCGTCCAATTTAATGGTTTATAACCGCTCGCCATCAAGGGCTATAAAATAGTCTCTTTCAGTGTTGATACGATTACCTGACCACTTTCCCCACCGGCCACTTAGTTGCCCATTGGCCAGCCATTAAGTCACCAAGACGTCGATTCGTCAGGAGTGGTTGCATTACAGAAGATACTGCAATCATGGGCGCTGGAACCTAGAGGCTCAGTCCCTTGAAGTGCCCCCACCTCCCCGTTTACAGATACATTTTAGAGTATCTGAACCCCTTCCCCTAGAAAATGTATAAGAGGGCTATGCTCCCCAAACCATGTACAGATGTTCTGTTCTTCAGTTTTCGTTAATACACCTCATATGATTTCATCCCTGTGTGGGTTTCGGGATCCCATTTCGGGAGGAAAACAAGAATAGACCCACTGCCTTCTCAGCAAGCATGTCGTAAGAGTCGACTAACTTGGAGCTTTCTTCGAAGTCGAAATGCACCTACCCGAGCGGCAAGGAGCAACCAGCTGCACACAGGCAAACCAGTAAAACTGATCTACACGCAAAACGCAGGCCTTTGCACAAAGCCGAAGTCCAAATGGACGAACAGCTAGGACTTTCCACACGAGCTTACAGGCGGTGGAAAAAAAAAACGAAAAAAGAAGAAGTAAACAGTGCAGAGGTACAAATAGATCATTACGGTCTGAGAAGAGTGGCGTTGCGGGGAATTACCATGGGATCTGGCCGACGCTCAACACTCAGGGGAAAGAGCAGACGGCTATACAGTCAGACAGTTACTGTTACCGTCGGAATTGGAACTCTTCGTTTGCTGATGAAGATGGACAGGAAGCGCTAATAGGAGAATTCTGGGTGCTATGATGTCGATTCTAAGTTTAACATTCGTTCCAGAAGCGTTGACAGAAAGGTTGTTTGCCTTTATTTCTTTCTTTGGTGGGGTCTTTTCTCTCTCAGTTTTTACCCTTCCAGGATTACAATCTGTAGAACTACCGCCTTAAGAACGAGAATCAAACAGCTACAAATCCCAGAAACACCGTTTAGTCGTGTAGCCGTTTGGCACGGTTATATTTGGACATCACCAACAGTTAGGGTGTACCTGTAGTCTGCGTGGATGGGTTTGATATCTCTGTTTGTGGGGGCAATGACCAGCGTGGATGGGTTTGCTATCTCTGTTTGTGTGAGCAATAATGACCTGCGTGGATGTGTTTGCCATCTTTTTGGGAGCAATAATGACCAGTTTGGATGGGTTTGGCATCTCTGTTTGTGGGAGCAATAATGACCAACGTGGATGGGTTTGACATCTCTGTGGAAGCAAAAATGACAAGCGTCGGTTGGTTTGACATCTCTTTTTGTGGGAGCAATAATGACCTTGCCCGACTGATGCTGTGTTTTCAGGTACTCGGCAACTACTTCTCCGTGGGCTCGCCTTCATACCTGAAAGATGAGAATTATCGCACGATCCTCAACATGTCTGCTTCAGAGTTCTATCAGACATACATGAACGGAAATCTTTACAGGTAAGTCAGTCGTCCTCGTAGTTTGAACAGCAGGACGAACACACACACACACACACACACACACAGAGACACACACACAGACACACACACAGACACACACACACACACAGACACACACACACACTCGGACTCGCACACATGCATATACACACACGGACACACACACATATACACACATGCACACACACTCGGACACACACACACTCACTCACGCACACACACATACACACACACACACAAAAGGCAAAAGTAATAGTACTTACAATGAACGCCTCCCCTCCTTCTTCTTTTTCGCGTTCACCAGCTGTAAACTCCGGCGGAAAGTTTTGGTTGTTCATGCATTTCTTGACTGCAGTCCATGTTCCAGAATCTAAGTGTTGCGTGTGCATCTGTTTGACAGATCTGACTCATTTGTATGCGGACTGCTGGTTCCTTGCCTCTCAAGCAGATGCACTCCGACTTTAAAGGAAGCTTCCAATTATTCGACTCTTACGACATGCTTTTAGGTAAGCAGTGGGTCTATTCTTGTGTTCAGTATAACAGGGCCCCGGAACCCACACGGGAAGCACTATAAGTATCGGAACTCTTCCCTGGCTGCTGAAGATGGGGACAGATCGCGCTTATGGAAATGCCCCGAGTGCTGTGATGTTGGTTCTTGAATCAGCTAAACTCAGGTCAAGGTAAAAGCCAAAAGTCCATTTGGACGAACAACCGCGACTTACCGCCGGAATTCACAGCCGGTGAACAAGAAGAAGAAGAAGAAGAAGAAGAAGAATCAGCTCAACTCATCAACTCATCTCAGGTGAACTGGGTATAAAGGGCTAGACCTATATTTTAGAGACCAAACGGCCCTTGGAGGGTGATGTGGTCAGCATAACGCTGACCGCCTTTACTTCCCAGGTACCAAGTACCCACTCAAGGCTGGGTCGATCTGGGAGCCAAGGTCATTTGTGGAAAAAAAAGTCCCGACAGAGATTAAATGTTTATGTTTTATGTACAATTTTTTTAATAACGTTTGAATCAAAATCTTGCTGCGTAATATAAATTTAACTTACGACCAGTTCAGGTTACGGCCTGTTAGTCGGAACTGAACTCGGTCGTAAGTCGAGGCCACCCTGTAACACAAGAAGAGAATTGATTACCCACATCACCAAACAACAACTGGAGTACATCGGGGTGGTGGAAAGTTGGAAGGTGTAGAGAGAGGGACAAAGAAGGAGAGAGAGAGATGGTAAGGGAGGGGGGGGGGGTGTGGTTTCTGGATAGCCTGACAGCACATCATGAGAGATCATCTGTGCCAGCAATTAATGGGGAAAAAACACGAAACACAGTAGCAACGCCACCCGGTGTGGACTTAAAGAAGTTACTCGTTTCCGTCTCATTCGGCGCCTTCTTTAAACTGTATATCATCATCCTTCTGTAGCAGGTCCCTCATAGAACGTCGCTCCCATCACTGGTGTAGCAAGTTCTTTACAGAACGTCGCTCCTATCACTGGTATAGGAGGTTCATCACAGAACGTCGCTCCCATTACTGGCCGTCTAAAGGCAAGCGGGCCCATAAACAGCTGTGCCTTATGCCTAATGTATCTCATGTCCGGTGCCCAGCTACGGTCGCTTGGTCTCCACATACCTCCCTTCCCCTCTAGCATTGCTCCTTGAGCGATGCATCCCAGTTTTTCCCTTCTTACAATGTGGCCACAACATGTGAATAGTCTAATAGTGATACTTTAGGACATATTTAGTAGGTTTTGACTACAGGCTTATATATGTGTGTACGTGCGCGCGTTTGCTTGTGTGTGTGAGGGGGTGGGGGGCTAGAAACCAGTTTATATGTAATAAGTTGGTTATATGGTGCCAACCCTTAAGATTGTGTAGTCCAGCCGGTATTCGACATGTGTGTGTGTGAGTGTTTGTATGTTTCATGTTTTTTTGTTTTAGTCTGCCTTTATTTCTTTAAACATGTGGGTTTATGCTATCATGTTTATGTAAACGACTTCCCTGAATTATTCTGTTAAATGCCTGCTTGGTGTCTCTCTGGCAGCAACATATTAGGGGACATCCCCGAACAGTTTAGCAGCCTCTACAGTCAGGGAGCAAAGACAAATCTCTTCTGTATACAGAGGGCACCGGAAGCCTACGACGCCATGTGGGTTATCGCTCTTGCCCTCAACAACACGCTGACAGCCATGATCCAAAACAGTAAGTCTAGCTTCCATTTCTTCTTTCTCTTCACGTTCACAGGCTGTAAACTCCGGTGGCAAGTTCTAGTGGTTCGTCTACTTCTGGACTTTAGTTTTGTTCCAGAACATGAGTGTTGCGTACACATCCGTTTTAAAGAGCTGACGTTTTTGTATGCAAACTATCGGTTAATTGCCTCCCTGGCAAATGCACTCCGACTTCAAAGGAAGAACCCAGCTTGTCGTCTTTTACCACGTGATTGTTGGGGAGACAGTGGGTTTACCCAGAGAGGGCCCCACAACCCACACGTGGGAAAATAGGACTCTTTGGGATGGCCCCTGTAGATTGTGAGTGCTTAAGATTTAGCTTATTTAGCTTGTACCTAAATCCGGGATTGTCCATTACCTAACTGATGACTCAAACGCAAGTCTCTCGATATGCTAAACGATCTTTGTAACTGCTCGGCCTGCCTCCCCTCCAATTTAGCATAACAGGAAAAACAAGTATGTGCTTGTGTATGGTAGGATGAGAAAGGGGGGGGGGGGTGGAAGGATGGGTAGCTGGTTCAAGAACTATTCGTGACTATTCTTCTTCTTCTTCTATGCGTTTACCAGCTGTAAACTCTGGCGGAAAGTTCTGGTTGATCATCCACTACTGGACTGCAGTCCTAATCCAGAACCTGAGTGTTGCGTGTGCATCCGTTTTACAGATCTGACTCATTTGTACGCAGACTGCTGGTTTCTTGCCTCTCAGGCAGATGCACTCCTAGTTCGAATGAAGCTCCTAGTTAGTCGATTCTTACGACACGCTTTTGCGTAGGCAGTGGGTCTATTCTTGCTTTCCCTATAATAGGGCCCCGAAACCCACACAGGGTAAGTTTCATGACAATGAGATTCTCCCTTTGTCCTCAGAGAGCAGTGTATGCCTGGAAGATTTCCGATACCGAAACGAGACGTTCTGGAAATTTCTGGAAGCAGGAATGATGAAAGTGTCGTTCAACGCAAGCACAGGTCCGTTCTCCTTCAACGCGAACAAGGAAAGGATCACCGACATTGAGATCTGGCAGTACGTCAACAACAATTCCACAAGTGAGTACACGACCTAGTCTACAGATTTACTGTAGTACCTTCTTTTTTACCTTTACCCTGCAAATAGTAAAGAAATGGAGTCTGGAAATGGATATTTCAGAAAAACTAATGTGTTCATACACACATGTCACAAAGATACATACGCATATATATATATATATATATATATATATATATATATATATATATATATATATATATACGTGTTTGGACTCCGTGGTTTAGGCGTTACCAGTCTGACTTGTAATTCAAACGTACAGCGATGGAAACCCACTGCTGGCTGTGTGGATTTGTATCACGGTTGGGCGCTGCAGGTCGACCCAGCCTAAAAGGGGTACCATAGTGTATGTTCTGGGGAAGTAAAGACGACCGGCGTAATGCTGATCACATTACCCACCTAGTGCCGATAGTCTGTAAAATATTGGTGCTCTTCCCATATGCCCGATGCGCCTATAGTCGTGAAAATATATATATTGTTATTGTTTGCGTTTACCGGCTGTACGCCCTGGCGGAAAGACCTGGTTGGTCGTCAATTTCTTTGGCTGTGTTCCAGGATTTGAGTTTTGCGCGTGCATCAGTTTTACAGATCTTGCTTATTTGTATGCAGACTGTTGGTTCATTCCCTTTAAGGCAGATGCTCTTTGACTTTAAAGGAAGCCCCCAAAAAGTCGACTGCTACGACATGCTTGTTTTGAAGGCAGTGGGTCTTTTCTTGTTTTCCCTACAATGGGACCCAGAACTAACAGGGGGAATATTTCTATATATATAAATATGTGTGTGTGTGTGTTTGTGTGTGTGCTGTTAATTGATTAAAGAGTATGATATAATTACTAATGCCACACACACACACACACACACACACACACACACACACACATATTTATATGTGTATCTGCTTGGCTACCCGTCATTCTGTCGGTTGATCCGTCTTCTGCATGCCTGTCGGTAGGTTTGTCTGTCATTTGTCTGCCCTATGTCTGTCCACATGTCGGTCTGTCTGTCTGCCTCTCGGTAGGTCTGTCTGTTTACCCGCCTACCTGCCTGTCTATCTACCTGTATATGCTCAGAGAAGACTTTTCCCAGGTCATGATGGGAGTCTGGTGGTGGTGGGCAAGTGCCAGTTTCTGGAGGCCTCATCCTGGGACTGTCGAGTCTTCAAAGACAAAGTTTACTGGGCCAGCGGTGAGTTCTTCGTGTTGTTGAAGTGACATTATATCGTCTGTGTTCCGCATTAAGTGGCAAGATAAGATAACAACCAAAAGGTAAAGGTAAAGTCGGGAGATGTGAACCAGCGTAATTGCACACGATTAAAAACCATAAGTGCTCTGCCACCAGTATGGACAGCTGATAAGAATTGTCCGCCTGTGTCGCCATTCGCACGTAACTCTGTAGCTACAGCGACGTTCCGCCATTTACCCCAGAGCGTCACTCTGATACCCATTTCTTAGAGGCTGGGTGAACCCCGGAAACCGCCCGGTTTCGAATACCGACCGTGGGCTGCAGCGAGTCGCAGTTGGATTTGAAAGCGAGCCTCTTATCGACTGGGCTAACGCAGAATGAGGTATTAAAACAGTTTTTGTCAGTGCTAAGTCTAGGAAGGCTCAGGTGGCTGGGTCACACCTGGAGAATGGAGTCCTTAAGGACTAGAGTGAATTACGAATGGGTAAAATATGTCGTGGCCAACCTCTACTATGATATAAAGATGTGTGCCAGAGGGACAAGAATGATACAGGTATTGAGGCGGATTCGTGGGAACAAAATGAATTGCACTGTGTTGCGTGAAGGAGGTATATCAGAAAGGAAATGAAAATAAAGGAAGAAATTACTGCAGAAAGGATGAAAGCTTAGCGTCTGAGCAGAAGCACACTTAATACATATGATGACAGTAACGATCCTGCAATGTATTGCTCTAACTGTGGAAGAATTTTCTAATCGCCGATGGGCTTGTAGTCACACTCGCCGTCGCCATGGCCTGTGAGTCTCATGCCTCATAACAGCACCCTATAACACTATTGTCTAGAATAGCTCTCAACCTTTCTAATGATGCGACCCTTTAATAAAGATCCCTCATGCTGTGGCGACACCCCCCCCCCCCCCCCCAATTACTTTCCTGCATAACTTCAAAGAATATGTGTTTTTAGATGGTCTTATGTGACCCCTGTGAAAGGGTCGTTCAACCCACAAAGGTGTCGCCACCGGCAGGTTAAAAACCGCTGGTATTGAACAGTGGTTCCTAAAGAAGGCACTACTGCCCTCTGTGGGTACCTTGATGATTTGGCGACAAGCATCTTCTTCTGCCTTCTAACCCCTCGTGGAGCATAGGCCCTCAAACAACTGATGCCAAGTCGTTCTGTCCTTTGCTGCCGCGACAAACATGGGACGATACAAACGCTGATTGCGTAGGGTGGCGACTGATGACCACCCATGCTTTTCAGCTAGGCACATGATGATGTTATTTCTCGTTCAGGGGAAATGTATTATTCTACATAAATGATGGTTTTTATTTTCCGGGATTATTCCTCTAGACAATTCCCGATGAACTGGGCTCAGAGACATAAATGATCTAATTTATTTTCCGGGATTTTTCCACTAGGAAAATTCCACTTGGACTGGGTTCAGACACATACATGATCTGCTTTATTTTCCGGGTTTATTCCACTAGGGAAAGTTTCAGTAGACGGGGTTCAGACACATAAATGATCTGCATTTTCCCCCGGGTTTACTCCTTTAGGAAAAGTCCCCGTGGACGGGGTTCAGACACAGATCCGAACCCTGCAGGTTGACCCGAGGATCGTGTCCACAGTGTGTGGGATTGCAAGTCTGGGCATCGTTTTGTCCCTGGGTCTGCTCGTCTTCAACACCGTTCACAGAGACCACAGGTCTGTCTCTCTAATAAAGTTTGTTCTGTCTGTCTGTCTGTCTGTCTGTCTGTCTGTCTGTCTGTCTGTCTGTCTGTCTGTCTGTCTGTCTGTCTGTCTGTCTGTCTGTCTGTCTGTCTGTCTGTCTGTCTGTCTGTCTGTCTGTCTGTCTGTCTGTCTGTCTGTCTGTCTGTCTGTCTGTCTGTCTGTCTGTCTGTCTGTCCGTCCGTCCGTCCGTCTGTCCGACCGTCCGTCAATCCGTCTGCCTGTCTGTCCTTCTGTCTTTCTTTCTGTATATATATCTGTATGTATGTTGGTCTATGTATCTATTTATCTAACTATGGATCTGTCTGTCTGTCCGTCTGTCTGTCTGTCCATCCGTCTGACTGCCCGACCGTTTGTCAGTCCGTCTGCCTGTCTGTCCTTCTATCTTTCTTTTATTATATCTGTCTGTTTGTATGTTTGTCTATGTATCTATATATATAACTATGTATTTGTCTGTCTACCTGGTTGTCTGTCAGTTTCCATGCCTGACTGCCTGTCTGCCCATCCTTCCGTCTATCTGCCTGTCTGCTTGTTTGTATATGTGTCTCTGCCCCCATCAGCCTGTCAGTCTGTAACTCCATCTAGCCTATTTGATTGTCTGTCTGTCTGTGTTCGGTTCAGCGAGTCCTAGACATTTCAGCCGAACTACATGCTAAAGATTCAACACAAAATCCCACCTGCCCTCTAACCTCAAAGCGTACATTATACAAATGTCTAACCCTAAAACTACATTACCTCCCAAACAATGTCTTGCGCAACGAAACAAACCCCTTTTTTACTGTTTGTATTATTGCTGTCATGAATATTCTAACTTTGAGAGCTGTCTCATTCATGGATTCCCAGATTGCGTGAGGCATGGGGCTTTTTATGCACGAGCCGCTCGAAGATTAATAGTTTAGCATTCCTGTTTTCTTTTTCTGCTTTTCATTTCCCAATTGTATTTAGGCTCTCAACTATTTCTAATCAAACCCTGTGTGCGAGCGTGCTTTCATACAAGTGCGTGCGCGCGTGACGTAGAATATATATATATATATATATATATATATATATATATATATATATATATATATATATATATATATATATATATATATATATATTGATCTGATTCAGTGCTAGAATTGGCCCTATCAGCGTACTCACAAAACCTAATCTACTCACCAGTGGATGAAAAGACTGGTTATCATTACCTGTGATGGTCGAACAACAACACATATATATTTAAATCGATTAGATTTTGCGGCTAAAGATTAGTATGGAATTAGATCACCAGTCGAACAATCACGATTGCTCAGAAGATAGAAGCGGCTGGCCAAACGGCTAAGCGATCCTGCGCAGTCTGTGGAGACAGCACTAGTCACACGATCCCTAGTTCTCAGGTTCAAAGACTGCCCCTTCCCCGTCGGCCCTTCCTCGCCCCACCCCACCCACATTTCTGCCCACACTTTTTCTTCGTGGGGACTGCGTGGTCTCAAAGCATAGCGCCCACCTCGAGTGCTAGAGGTCCCCGGATTCAAGCCCTGGTGAAGGCTGCGATTTTCTTATTTGGGCTTCTAGTAATTTTCCCTGGTCTCTGGGTAGTAGGATCAGGCGCCAGTGTGTTTTGTTGCGAAAGTTTTTAAAAAAATTTTTTTATGCCTTGGCATTTGGAAATCGACAAAGAGTAGCCTAACGGCGATGCCAGGGCAAAATTTGGAGTTAAAATTCTAACAAAAGTATTTCAGTATCCTCGCCGGTGCTACGGAGTTCGTGCACTGCGCTGAGATTCTTCTGACTCAGAGACTTGCCATGATGTTGATTCGTCGTCTAAACTTCTTCTTCTTATCGTTGATCAGCTGTAAACTCCAGTGAAAGCTCTGGTTGTTCGTCCACTTCTGGCCCTGTTCCAGAACTTGAGTTTCGCATGCATATCTGTTTTACATATCTGGCTCATGTGTATACAAACTGATGCACCCCGACGTCTTTTGAAAGACCCATAATTATCAACTTTTTACGACACGCTTGTTAAGGAGCAATGTGTCTATTTTTGTTTCCCGTAATATGGGGTCCCGAGACCCATACGGGGACTATGCCGTTTGACAAGGCAGGTTGTCACCACTAAACAAACGTTTAAGAGCGCCTGTCGAAACTGTGCTAAACAAAAGTCGGTGTCTGGTGCCTGGACTAACCAATTATCGGTTTTCAGAATAGAAATGGGTACATACATTAGCTATTCGGTGGCCACATAGGGCACGGGGGAAAGGTCATTAACTCCATATTTGTGGACTTTTTTTTTCTAGCTCACCGCATTTTCTTACAGGCATTATGAGTATTCTCTGGTGTAGAGGGGAGGACGTGTCCGCGGATCAATATTTTTGAGCAGCAGCGAAAAGAGCTTCTATGAGAATTATTAGTTAAAAAAAATATGTAATTGGTGTCGGCTCTGTGGCTAAATCAATGCGAACGCTTCTTAGTGCCGGGTTTGAACCCAGCTGCGGGCCATGCACCCTGCGTTGGTTTCGACGGTGGTATCAAGGGACTGACTGTCCAGAAAGCAATGGCAAACTACTAGACGTAAATTTGCCTAGAGAAACCACACATCAGTCAGGGGCTGTTGGGGTTGGTTCTGCAACGTCCTGTCAAGGATACGCAACTAACCTTTTTGTGCAATAGGTGTTATTTGTGAGAGGCAAGGCATTTAGAATTGTGGAACAAGAATAATCTTAGCAAAAACAGGCAGGAGGCGAAGGATGGAGAAAAAGGGGGGGGGGGGAGAATTAATGATAATAACGAAATTGATCATCCTACATAAAAACATAGACCCATACATGCTATGCACTCATCTAGTGTATTATTCACTACGGTAATGGTTCTTATGCTTCTTACCCTTGTTTTGTTCCCCCACCTCCCTTTTTTCCCCCGTCATCATTCACAGCCTGTAACTTCCTGCCAGCGTAAAGTCCGGGTGTTCGTCCACTCCTGGACTTTAGTCTTGATCCGGAACTTGAGTTTGGCGTGCACATCCTTTCAACATGTCTGGCTTATCTGTAGACAGACTGTTTCTTTATTTCCTGTCGCGCAGATGCGCTGAGAATTTGAAAGGAAACCCCCTAATAGTCGCCTTCAAGAACACTCCGGGCTGCGAGGGGCAGTGCGTCTATTCTTAGTTCTCAAAAATGAACACCCTGAACCGATAAGGGAAAGGTTATTATTGCCTACATCTCAGGCTAGTATTGTTTTCGGCAGTGTTCATTTATTTAATTATTTTTTTAATCTGTGTAATCATTCTCCAGGGTAATCAAGATGTCGTCTCCACGTCTGAACAACGTCATTCTTGTGGGCTGTATCCTTGGTTACAGTAACATCCTGGTGCTAGATATCCAAGGGGAGGACACTGGGATTGTGTGTGTTGTGAGTAGTTGTCCCTGGGCTTTGTCCCGCCTGTGTGAATATATATAAACCCCCCAAAAAAAGGAAAGTAAAAGATCCTTACAAAGGCGACCGGGTCACCCATTGACTCGCCGGTAGACGACTTCGCCGCCGGTCGGGACAATATGTGAGTCTGTGTCCCTTGATCGCATTAACACTGCATGAGTCCTTTTCAGGGCTTCTTGATGGTGAGCAAAGCTAAGCCATTTTATATGCGCACATAGACCTAGTCACAGTTATAACCAAAAGCTCCCCGTGTGGGTTCCGGAACCCCATTGCGAGCAAAACAAGAATAGACCTACTGCCTCCCCAGTAAGCATGTCGTAAGAGTTGACTAATTGGGGACTTCTTTCGAAGTCGGAATGCATCTGCTTGAGAGGCGAGGAACCAACGGTCTGTATACAGATAAGCCAGATCTGTGAAACGGATGTCCCTCAACACTCAGGTTCTAACTGAGTTCACAGCCGGGGGGACGCGAAGAAGAAGAGGAAAATAACAAAAAGATCCTCCTTTCTTGGGAGGGGAGGGGAGGGAGGGGGGGAATGCTGGTTGAATGTGACTATCTGTTTTCACGCCTGTAGGTGTATTGGGTATATAAGCCTAGACCTATAGTTTATAGATCAGTTGGCACACGTTGAGTTATGTGGTCAACATCACGCTACCTTTACTTCCTCGGTAACTTCCCTAGAAATGTCCGCCGAGATTACAGCCGGTGAGAGCTAAGAAGAAGAAGAAATTGAAGAAATTATTTCAAATATAACATGATACTTATTCAGCACATTATAATTATTATTACTGCGCGCTTAAAAATTGCTCAGGTCCCACGATGGCCAGTTCTCGCGACCCACCCTCACCCCGAGTGTTCAGCGTCCATGCAGTTTGTGGTAACAAGTAAAGTAAAGGACCCGTTTCCACGCCTTTAGACGTTTTGGGTATATAGGGTTAGACCTATATTTTGTATACCAATCGGCGCTTGATGGGTGATGCTTTCCGTGTGGGTTCTGTAGCCCAGTTGTGGGGAAAACAAGAGTAAACCCACTACCAGCCCAAAGCATGTCGTAAGAGTCGACTTCAAAGTCTGGAGTACATCTGCCTGACAGGCAGGGAACAAACAGTCTGTATGCAAATGAATCAGGCCTGTAAAACGGATGTACATGCAAACGTCAGGTTTTGGAACAGAAGTGGACGAAAAACCAGAACCCGAGCTTACAGCCGATGAACGCAAAGAAAAAGAAGAAGGTGGGTGATGTGATCAGCATCACGCCTGCCGCCTTTACTTTCCAGGTTTATGCCTGGTACCCACTCAAGACTGCAGTTTGTAATTGTGTGTAATGTAACAATAACAAGGGGAGCATTTCCTTTACATCTGTCTCATTCTTACAGGTTCGGACGTTTACGCTTGTGTTGAGTTTCTCGCTGACATTCGGCGCCTTGTTCGCCAAGACATGGCGAGTCTATGAGATCTTCGCTGCCGGAGCCAAAGTGCTAAACACCAGGGTGGGTAGTCTTCTTCTACTTCTTCTTCGCGTCCACTTCTGACCTGCAGTCTTGCTCCAGAACCTGAGTGTTGCGTGTGCATCAGTTTTACAAATTTGATTCACTTGAATGCAGACTGTTGGTTCCTTGCCTCTCAAGCAGATGCACTCCGACCAGAAAGAAAGCTCCCCAGTTAGTCGACTCTTACGACAGGTTTTTGGGTAGGCAGTGGGTCTATTCTCGTTTTCCCTATAATGGAGCCCCAGAACGCACACGGGGAAGGGTGGGTAGTGTTGATGATGATGTTTCTGTTTTGTCTGTGTCTTCTTTTTCTGTCCAAATCCACGTGAAAAAAACCCAGCCCTTACCGGGGATTGAACCCAGAACCTCTAGCACTCGAGGCGGACACCAAACCTCGAGACCACGCAGCCCCCTTTTTAAAGAAACCAGAGAAATTATTAAATCTGTTGGTGTATACAATGGAAAACATGTAATCAAGTTAAAATCAAGCCTGAGATGGTTGGCCACTATTTGGGTGAACTCTCCATTACACACAAGCCTGTTTAACACGGCAGACCTGTTTTTGTAAGTTCCCATTCCTTTAGGTTTGTTCCACTCAAGTAGTTAAAGTGAATTAGTGGTTCGTTAGTTGGGTATCCTTTACAGGACATTGCAGAACCAACCCCAACAGCCCCTGGGTGTTGTGTGGTTTTTCTACGCAAATTTACGTCGAGTAGTTTGCCATTGCTACTGGACGGTCGGCTTTCTTGATACTACTGTCGAAACCAACGCGAGGCGCATGGCCCGCAGCTGGGATCGAACCCGGCACGCCGGCATTACGAAGAGTTCGCATCGACTTAACCACAGAGAGTTAATGTGAGTACATTCTGTTAAAAAGTAAGATCTTGTTACCTTACAATCTACAGGGGTCTAGAAAATCGATTTCTTTCCTACGAATGCAGTTTTCTTTAAATATATTTTTTAAATTCCCTAAAAATTTACAGTTCTTTAACATTATTTTAGGTAAATTATCTCCGTCTTTTAAAAAATTTTTAATGTACCCTATTTAGTTTGGGAGAAAAATTAAATAATCAGCTTCATTTGCGCCATCTTTTTTTAACTTTTATATTTTAACATTTTCTGCGATTACTGGTCTAATTATCGGCAGTTAGGGGCTGTTAGTGTTGGTTCTGCAACGTCCTGTAAAAGATACGCAACTAACCATACTGTTCTAATTATCGGCAGTTAGGGGCTGTTAGTGTTGGTTCTGCAACGTCCTGTAAAAGATACGCAACTAACCATACTGGTCTGATTATCGGCAGTTAGGGGCTGTTAGTGTTGGTTCTGCAACGTCCTGTAAAAGATACGCAACTAACCATACTGGTCTAATTAAAAACTGCAGGGGCATCGGGGCTTTGTGTTGATTAGGACCTCGTCAAGTCACAATCCGGCCCTGCTGATGCCTAATTTATATATTTAAAAAGTAACGGACGATGTATTGATTGGCACTCATAGACAGAAGTAGAAAAAGAAGAACGCACTAGACAACATACAAATCGAAAGCTATGCTTACCGTGCCGGGAATCGAACCTGTCACCTCCAGACGGCGTGTGCGCCTCGCTATGGAAACAAGTGTACTAAGAACATGGTCAACCACGCACCCCCTAAAAAGGTGTCCTATTGGTCATGTCTATTGTACAGCTTGAAATCCACAACTATGGAATACGGACAAAATTCATTTCAAAACATTGAAATGGCACCATAGGTTACATAAATTTATATTATCGAAGCATAAGACGAATAACAAGCACAGCAACAATTTACGAACACAGTAGACCTTAATGCTTTGTCTAGAATACACAAACATTAAACAACTGTATTTGACTGGTAGGTTCCAGTGTGTATACGTCATTAACATGAATAAACAGAGGGGGAACCCTTGAGTCCGTTAAATATTATGAGAGGTTGCTTGGCTGGTACCTTTTCCTCTTTCCAGACGATAATGTTATATATATTATGCTATAGTGAGGCATTACACAGATTAACAAACAGCAGACAGACATACGTCAGACATACAGACAGACATCAGACAGACAGAAATCATACTGACACACAGACGGCAGTAATGACTAGGGGTTGTTCGCGTTAATCCTATGTTGACCCGTGCTGCCCTTTGATTCTCCCCAGATGCTACGAGACAGCAGCCTGTTCCTGATTGTGACCATCCTCATACTAGTCAACTGCCTGACGCTGGTCGGGTGGGTGGTCGCCTCGCCCCAGAAACCATCACTTGTTGTTATCAGCATGACACCGGTCAGTTTGTTTTCAAAAATATGTCTTTTTTTTTTTCTTTACCGTGTTATTGTTTGCAACATTTATCCTAAATTATAAAAACGCCTAATCTCTTCATTCTTATTTTGTCCTGTTGCTTAAACCGCAAAGTGCCGCAAAAAAGAGTTAGATGTAGTTTCCTGTCTTTTGCTTGCTGCGTAAGCTGTGTTAATGTCATTTTGTGTTTCTGTAGCGTCTCTGTTACTCCCTCCACCCATGCCTTTCTTGGTTGGTAACTTACCTTGTAGCCTGCTGTTCTTATGTTGTATGCTCTAGTCGCTGGCTGATTTTCTTTTATTCTGACCAGATGACTAAACCATTTGATTTTTTGATGTTCTATGAAATCATTCCCCGGTACTGTGCCTACTATTTTCTTAGTTGTTCATTTGTGACTCTGTCTCTGCTTTGCGGGTTTTCTTTACACTGCATTTCTTATACATCTCATCTTGCATGTAATTTTTTCGTATATGTTATTATTTTAAATTATTTTAGGACTGTTCACATCTGGCACTGATAGCACAAAGTTGATACCAATAGCGTATTTAGCAACTGCTTTATGTGAACAAAAAGTTTAAAACAGTTGGGAGGCTACGGGTCTTCATTAATATATCAGCAGGAGCGGTTTACATTATCGACGTCTGCTTCAGACCACACACTATAAAAAGACGCTAACCTCCAACTTTTATTCCTCATCCGCTTCCTCTTTAAATTTATTATTTATTGTTAATAACTGTTATTTAAAAGTATTAACATGGGGAAAAGAACGTTTGCTGCATGCTTACGCCAACCATGCAGAAACTGTAACATGTAAAAGCTACCAGTTACTCGTACAATACCAGCTGCGCGCTTATACACTCAACAGCCAAGTGACGAGGAGTAAAATATCACAAGATACCCTGTCCAGTGCAATGGTTAGCCGCTAACGTTTGCCAAGAGAATTGATACTTAGGTTTGATCCTTGATATCTGTCAATGAAAGGCAGTATCTTCTTACCACCAGTCTGTTTGTATGCATGTATGTATGTAAATGTACCTTCTCCGTCAGCAACTTTTTGATATGCGGTCCTACTTCCCTTCCTCGCCCAGGCAACGGAAAATAACGATGTAAACTACACCAACGTGTTCCAAAGATGTGACTCCACTTACCGACGCCAGTTCACATGGGCCTTGGTGGCAATACAAGGTGGAGTCATTCTTCTTGGTACTTACCTGGCCATTCAAACTAGAAAGGTAAAAGGTTGCATCATCTCCTGACTGTGTCTAGTTTTAAATCTGTATCTACATGTATCTAATCTTATTGTGTGTTATCTCTTATTGCCTTGTCTATTCTCTGTCAAACAAGTAGAACTGGTGGTGGTTGCTTTGCTCAGGAGAAAACAATCGTCACATTCAACCAGCATCCGCGAAGAGAAAGCTTTGGGTTATAATTGTGACTAGGTTTTATGCGCCACATAAAATGGTTATTAGCATTGCACGCCACTAAGAGTCATCAAAATGGACGCATGCAGTGTTGATACGATCGAAGGAGACAGGTCCAAATACTGTTTCCGGCTGAAGACGAAGTTGTAACCCGGTCTTTGATATAATGTGCGAGTTGAGACCTTGGCACGCCAGCCTTATCCAGGATTCGAACCCTGATCTCCTGCATGACATCTCTGTGTTTTTATCCGCTGTTCCAGTTCCTAGTAGTCTGCTGCTTCTAAGTAAATAGTGTAAAATGGACAACTCATTCTATCGTCAGGTGACCTTCCCTGACCTGAACGACTCCAAGTGGATCGCTCTGTGCATTTACAACGTCGTTGTGCTAGGTCCGATCGGCATCGTGGTTGTCATGGTAACTGAGGACAAACCGGAAATCAACTATGTTCTCGAGGCTGGAATGTTGATTTTGGTTACAACTATGACCCAGTGCCTCATTTTTGTTCCAAAGGTGGGTTTGGTTCTCTGTCTGTGTGTTGGTATGGCAGTTTTTTTTTATCAGTGTGTCTGATTTTTCAGTCTGTGGATCTGTCTGTATAATGTATATCGATTAATATCTGTCTCTGTGTATAATTAGGAGCTAACAACTCAGAATGCAAAGTATTCAAATTTGGACACGGTTATTTAAAAAGTGTGCTTCATCTGAACAAAACAACTAAGCTGAGTGTGCTGTTTGTGTTTGGAGATTAACACAGCTATCGTGAGTGTGCTGTTTGTGTTTGTGTTTGAAGATTAACACAGCTACCTTGGGTATGCTGTTTGTGTTTGAAGATTAACACAGATACCTTGGGTATGCTGTTTGTGTTTGGAGAGTAACACAGCTACCTTGGGTATGCTGTTTGTGTTTGGAGAGTAACACAGCTACCCTGAGTATGCTGTTTGTGTTTGGAGAGTAACACAGCTACCTTGGGTATGCCGTTTGTGTTTAGAGAGTAACACAGCTACCTTGGGTGTGTTGTTTGTGTTTGAAGATTAACACAGCTACATTGAGTGTGCCGTTTATGGTTAGAATTTAACATCAAATCTCCAAATCGTTCAAGTTCTACGGAAATTTTCTTACTGTAAATAATGGAAACTAAATCTGATCCGAGGTCCACATCAACTGCTTTGACGGTTGCTGTATTATTTATAATTGTAGAGACAGTGTGTTTAGCCATAACAAACATCGTAGCATGTTGGCATAAACATATACTACCCCCATACTGAGCGATAAGATATTTTTAATGGCAATTGTTGCTTTAACAGCTTTCCTCTTCCTTTTTTTTTTTTCAACGCTACACTTTTTTACCAACTTATTCTTTGTGTATGATCTATGGAAAGCACCGTTCAAATTGTAACTTCTGAAGTATCATTGTACACTTCTGGAAATCATGGGTGCTGGAACCCAGGTGCGTAGGCCTCTGAAGGGCATAGCTCCCCCCGCCTCCCCTTTTCCAGAAAACAAAAACTAAGAAGAAAAGACGGTGCTTTAGTTAGGTTTAAATCAGTCTCCCCAGTTTCATTCACAGGTTTGTTGGGCTGGTCTACTTTCCTGCAGAATACGGGTGTGCCGCTCTGTTGTTTGCTTTCTGGGTTGTGTTGCATTTACGTTTTTATTCCGAGAAAGAGAATGCCTGTGACATAGGTTGCAGCACTCTCTAGGGGAGTTGTGTTAGATCTAGTTTGTCAATGTTTTTGGAGTGTCAAAAGCGCTGGCGTGTTGAAATATGTAACATCCGATATCAACGGCATTGCGGAACGTCCCCGTAACCTTGTGCCAAGGGCACGTGGCTCAAGGTTTGTCAGTCAGAAGTGAGCTAGTGTGTATATGGGCGGGATCTAGGTAGCAAAACATTATTTTTACCTGGTACTTTTATTTCAGCCCCTTTCCTTCCCAAGGAAATCCGAGAGTTTCCAGGAAAAGTCCAATATTACAGGGGTGTTACGGTGTAAAAATGAGCATTAACTAACTATAACCTTTTATATTATTTGACTTTCCCCATGACCTCTCGGATTTCCCGAGATGGGGTAAACTTAAATAAAAGTATCCGAAAGACTATAACCTGTATAGAGTCTGCGTTGACTAAAGATATCGCATTCTCTTCTCTGTTCACAGATGATCGCCTACAAAAAACACAACCGCAAACACACCCAAAGCTTGGACATCACCTTTAAACTTCGCAACATGGACGAAATTCTCGGCATTTTCACGCTGGAGCCCAACAACTTGGACCGGGACACCACAGGTGCCTCAAAACCCAAGGAAACTTCTGGAAGTTGCGAGGTCTCTCAACAAACCGACTTTTCCGGTATAGCTTGCAACGATACCTGCCCGTGCGCATTGAAAGACACAGAAATAAATCCACAAGAAAATTCTACTTGTCAAAAAGCCACCAATGTTGAAAATGGAAAGGAAACAAATGAAAGAACACACATGTCTGTGTTGTTTCAAAGGATCAACAGTAAACACAATACAAATCTAAAACCATCTGGTTTAAACAATGGAAAATTACAGGCTTGTGATTATAGCCTTGACAGTGTGAACATTCAAAGGTCGAGGTCAGATTCCAGCCTCGATGTGGATTCAGCTTCTGGTATAGTTCCGCAAGGGGATGAACCTAAACCTCCCGATGTTGAGAGTTCTATGGGCAATGACGACGACAAGGTAGCCGTTTTCTGGGGAAATCTGACTCTTCAGGAGAGCAACAGCTTCTCCAGCAAACACGAAGACTCTCAGAGGCTTGTTCTAGATACGATCAAAGTGAAGGCAGAACTCAAGGTGTCGTCCAAACTTGGACTTCAGGCTAGCTGGAGGGAGTGGCCGGGACATTTGAACAACGCCCAGCAGATCTGCGAACTGTTGAGTAGGCTCAAACAGGTAGTGGAAGCTGGGCAGGGTGAGATGAAGACATAGAATCACCCATGATGAACAGTGTTGTAAAGTGTGTTTGAGTTGTTGGATTTGATGAACAAAATATAAATATTTCATTTATCGTGCATACATTTCAATCTGGAGGTGTATTTATACAGTTACCCTCTGTCTGTCTGTCTGTCTGTCTGTCTGTCTGTCTGTCTGTCTGTCTGTCTGTCTGTCTGTCTGTCTGTCTTTATACTTACCTACATGTCACATACCGCTCGTGTCGCGTGCCTGATTTAAGGATTTCTCCTTACAAACCAACAGCACTCTGAAATAGAATAATGTTGAGGCGCCGGCTCGTATTGGTCTAAATATACGCTCAACCTTTTTCAGGAGTACGGCAACTCAAGTTATGGCACTACAGAATATCTAATAATCCTAGGCGCAACTTGGCTGGACGCCCCCACTACTATAAAAAGATCGCCCCCAGGCTATGATAGTGTACTATCATAGCCATGTTAACACAGATGAAGATTATTAATTGAACATACATGTACTTTAGACAGCTAAGAACAGTGAATGATTGACACTCCAGTCAATAGTGAAAACTTGGAAATACATGTAATAAGTTCAACATCAACATGAAATATGACTCAAGAGAAAATATTCAAAAGCATTGGAATATTGCAAGATCAACACCGAAATCCCTTTGACGGGCATTGAGGAATCTCTTAGAGGCAGCCTGACATCATCGTGGTGATTTGGAGTGGACCTGTGAATATAGAACACGGCATCACCATAGAGTTCACTACTTATCTGTTCCTATTCCAGGTTGGAGTCACTGCAGTTCATGATACTGGAACAGGCTGGCCTTCTGAGAATGTTCACTTCAATGGTTGATCTGGTAGAGACAGTCACATATAGAGTTCAAAACTGGAGCTCAAGAAGAGGGTGTTCTGGACCGAGGGTGGTCCTGATGGCCTGGAACAACAGCCTTTCAGCCACTGGAACCCAACACGCTCCTAAAGAAGGCACACTGGTGTGAATGTCAATTGGGCTGCCTGTAAGCAGATGCCTACCTTTTGGCTCCCACAATACTGTTTGCCATAGTGATGGTTTGGTAGTGGGTAATTTGGTGGTTGGTGCTTTTCTAGACTGCTGATTCACTATCTAACCTCCAAGGAGATATTTGAAATAAATAGGAAAATCAGACACCCCAGGAGGATGAAGAGTGGGAGGGAGAGCAAAGAGAACTCAGACAGCACAGCAAAAAATACACAGATGCTCAATATTCTGCAGCTGAACATCTGTGGAATAAGAAATAAGAAACTTGAACTTGCCAAACTGCTAAACAACCACAGGGTACACGTGGCTGCCCTACAAGAAACACTGCATAAAGACTCTGATCTGCATCTCACTGGAATCAAATATACGATATACAACGTGTACAGCCCACCTCAGACAACATGCAACATACTAGAACTATACAAGACACAGTACCATAAAACCCTTCTTGTTGGTGACTTCAACGGACACTCGCCACGTTGGGGTTACCCTGACTACAATAGCACAGGGAAATACATCGAAGATACTTGTGAAACAACTAACCTATTAGTGCTGCAGGACACAGAGTCTACACCTACACTGTTACACAGGGTCCACCTATCTCTCAGCCGACCAGACCTGACCATCTGCTCATCCGACTTAGCAGACGCAAGCTATCCCCAAGTCCTGGACGACAAGGAAGTGACCACAAACCTATACTCACAACTGTAAGCACCACCGCTAAATTACGCTTCAAGCAGAGAACCTGTTGGAATTTCCGAAAAGCAAACTGGAAACTATTTCAGGAAACATCTGACTGCCTCCTGGGAAGAATTGACAACAGCTGTGTGGAAACTTTTTGTAAAGACATAACACAAGCAATCCTGAATGTAGCGTCGAAAGCCATCCCAAGGGGCAGCCGGAAGGCATATAAACCTTTTTGGAATCAAGAAATTCAAAATACTATATCTGAAAGGAATAAAGCAAGAATATTGCTCGAAACTGCACGTTCAACAGAAGCAAAGATCCAATACAATAAAGCATGTGCCAGAGTAAAGCTTGTAGTTAATAAGGCTAAAAGAGATAAATGGACAGAAACTTGCTCCAACTTAGACAGACAGAATGGAAATAAAGCATGGACTTTAGTTAAAAACCTCTCCGGAGAAAGTAGAAGGGTGAACCCAAAACCAGTGACAGATGGGAGTAAGACAATCACTGAAGACAAGAAGAAAGCAGAACATTTCAATCATTATTTTGCCTCGGTTAACAGAGCAGGTAAGCTGCCAGAACTCAATAGAACACAGCTCTCTCAGTTGAAGAAACAAGAGAGAGCTCCAACAGCCAGCGACTCCCTTTTTGAAAATGAATTTAGCATGGATGAATTAGAGCAAGCCCTGAAGAAATTAAAACCTAGAAAATCTCCGGGCCCAGATAAGATCCACAACGAAATGCTGCTACATCTTGGCCGGTCTGGGAGAGAAGTAGTTCTCAGGCTTATTAATAAAACTTGGAGGTCAAGCAAACTTCCAAAGGCATGGAGGAATGCATATATCGTCCCCATTCTTAAAACCAAAAAGCCTCCAGATGACCCCAAAAGCTACCGCCCGATATCCTTAACATCATGCTTGGGCAAAGTTGCAGAAAGAATGATAAACAGGCGCTTATATTGGTTCCTTGAGAGTTCTGGTGTTCTATGCCATGAACAGGCAGGCTTCAGAACCAACAGCTGCACAGAAGACCAGCTGTTCAGACTGACACAAAGAATACATGATGGCTTCCAGAATAAGAAACACACAGTAGCAGTCTTTGTCGACCTCCAGCAGGCCTACGACAGAATATGGAGAAAAGGTCTCCTGATGAAGATGATGAGCATAGGAATACATGGCAGATTGTATAACTGGGTGAAATACTTCCTGATAGATAGAACAATCCAGACTAAGATGCACATCGCAATCTCGTCTAAAGAAGTTATGGAGGAGGGCTTGCCACAAGGCTCATCATCGAGCTGTACACTATTCCTAATCTTTATCAATGACCTGCCAGAACAAATCAAGACCGAAAAAGCCTTGTACGCTGATGACCTAGCAATATGGCAGAGTCATGAAAATGTGGAAAGTGGAGCCCAAAGACTGAATGGAGACCTTAGAAGACTGCATGAGTACTGCCAAAGATGGAAACTCAAGGTTAACTGTGCAAAGACGGTCTACACAATCTTTACCAAAAGCCACCAAGTAGCAAGGAAGAATATTAACCTGAGGTTAGACAAACACCAAGTGATGAAAGAAGAGCATCCCACATACCTTGGAGTCACACTTGACCGGCAGCTCAGCCTCAAGAACCATATTGAAAACATCAGGAATAAGGCATTGAGGCGGTTACAGTTATTAAAGAGACTTGCAAATACATCATGGGGATCAGACAAGGAAACTCTGAGGGGCTTATATCTAGGATATGTTCGCTCTGTGATAGAGTACAACAACTCACTGCTTACAACTTGCTCCAAAACTAACCTAGAGACTCTTGACAGAGTACAAAATAATGCCCTCCGATTAATCTGCGGAGCTATGCAGTCTACACCAACTGCTGCATGTGAAATCCATACAAATGTGGAACCCCTCGGGTTGCGGAGAGAAAAAGCCACTTTAGAAATTTATGAAAGATGCATTAGGAAAAATCGTAACCATCCTAATAGACATCTTGTAGATAACTGGGAATACAAACAAAGAATAAAGCACAAATCGGTTTTACACTGTGTTAATGAAATTCAGGACAGATACCACCTCCCAGAAAGACGTAAAGGAATTCAGAATGTTGCAAGAAACCTACCACCACATGCTCGCTTTAAAGCTCCAGAAGTCCGAACTAAATTGGTAGGCGAGGAAACCAAACAGTCCGACCCAATCGCTCTTATGAACTCATCACTAAAGACCGTTGATTCTTACCCCCAAAAATGGATACATGTCTATACTGATGGATCAGCATTTAAAGCTACCATTAAAGCAGGTTACGGAATCTACATAGGTTATCCCGATGGATCTGTTGAAGAGATTTTTGATGCATGCGGGGAATTCTGTTCAAACTATGAAGCTGAAATAATTGCACTGGAAACAGCAGTTTACCACCTAAAGACTGTAATGGATGTTTACCCTTCAAAGGTCCAAAATATTGTCATCTTCACAGATTCAATGTCTGCCCTTCAAGCTCTGGAGGGCAGTGAGTGCTGCAGAACTGACATAGCCAAGATAATCCTGGATGCTGATCAGCTTATTACCTCATACAACATCAGAATAGTGATGCAGTGGATTCCAGGTCACTCCGGCACACCAGGTAATGACATAGCTGACAGATTGTCAAAGAAAGAAGCAACACAAGAACAACCACCTACAGCGACAACCCTCCAGACAGCAAAAACACTGATAAGAGCTATAAACAAAGAGACTTGGTTGAACAGATGGTCCATGGGAGACACTGGAAGAGAGGTGTATAGACATATGTCTGGCCCTGATCCTAATGACAGCATTAACCATCTAACAAGAAGGGACCAGGCCACCATCTTCAGACTTAGAAAGCAACACACTCCACTCAATGGACACCTAAACAGAATACAGCCACAACACTCCCCAGAGTGCCAGCTATGTAACTACCCCTACGAAACTGTTGAACACCCTTTGAGTGCCCAAAACTCAGTGAGACAAGAAGAACCTACTCCCTCCGAGACCAGACAAGTGGAACACCTTGTACGGAGGAAAAGAACAGCTTGTGAAAACATGCAAATTCCACTACATGGCATTGGGCCAAAGGGCGAAAGCTCATGCGCCGCTGGATCGATAACAACAACAACAACCAAGGAGAAATCATCCCAAGCTTAGGATTTTCTCCAGAAATTAACTGGTACTTTTCAAAGTAGAAATCAGGCACAGAGGCAAATTCGTCTGGGTTCTCTGTGAGTCAGCAGTGAATCAGGGGGAAATTTTAGCGTCCTTTCAAAGAAAGTAGCCCGTGATATTAATGCG